ACACTCTGGGGACGACGCCAACAACACACACACTATGGGGACGACACCAACAACACACACAGTATGGGGACGACGCCAACAACACACTATGGGGACGACGCCAACAAGACACACTATGGGGGACGACTAAACTACATACACTCTATGAGGAGGCGTTAACAACACACACACACACACACTATGGGGACGACGCCAACAACATACACTATGGGGACAACGCCAACAAAAACACACACTATGGAGACGACAATAACACACACACTAGGGATAACGCCAACAAGACACACACACTATGGGAACAACACCAACAAGACACACACACTATGGGGACGACGCCAACACACACACTGGGACGACGCAACACACACACACACTCTGGGGACGACGCCAACAACACACACACTATAGGGGACGACACCAACAACACACACACACTATGGGAACAACACCAACAAGAACACACACCATGGAACACACACACACACACTATGGGGACGACGACAACAACACACACTATGGGGACAACACCAACAACACACACACTATGGGAACAACACCAACAAAGACACACACACGGGGACGACGCCAACAACACACACACTATGGGGACAACACCAAACACACACACTATGGGAACAAACACCAACAAGACACACACACTATGGGGACGACGCCAACAACACACACACTATGGGGACGACACCAACAACACACACACTATGGGAACAACACCAACAAGACACACACACTCTGGGGACGACGCCAACAACACACACACTATGGGGACGACACCAACAACACACACACTATGGGAACAACACCAACAAGACACACACACTATGGAGACGACAATAACACACACACTATGCGGACGACGCCAACAACATACACACTATGCGGACGACGCCAACAACATACACACTATGCGGACGACGCCAACAACACGGTGACAATAATTTATTATCTTTGCGAATACAGAAGCAAAAATTATAAACTTCAGATCAACACTAAACGTAGATTGTTATTATGGGAGAAGGTCACCTATCATAGGTAGGGGGTGCCTTTTATGGTAGAGAGGTCTCTACCATAGTTTCATACACCCTCTACCGCTACTCCTGGTTCGAGGGAAGTCGTAGTCAGGGCTGCAAACCGAACGATTCCTCTTGTATAGTCACATTAAGTATAGTGATGGTAAATAAAGTGTTGTAAAGTCACTAAAAAACCTGTATCGTGCATATATCCTCTCAAATATTACACCATGAACTGCTATTCGTACAATACAGCGATGCTTCGAGCTACCACGTATAGCACCACTGAATGATGGGGGGGAGTGAGAGGTATGAAGCCAAGGCTATGACTTCCATCGAGTCAGGAGTAGAGGTAGAGGGTGCATCGAAACTATGGCGCGTGAGTGTACCTATCATGGTAGAGGGGCACCTATCATGGCAGAGAGTAATTTATTATAATAGAGGGGCACCTATCATGGCAGAGAGGAATTTATCATGATTGGCCCTCTATCATATAAGAGGGGCATGTTTCATGGTAGAGGGACATCTACCATGATAGAGGGGCACCTTTCATGATAGAGGGACACCTACCATGATAAAGGGACACCTACCATGAAAGAGGGACAACTATCATTGTAGAGATGAATTTATCATGATAGAGGGGCACATATCATGGTAAGGGGCACCTATCGGTATAGAGGGTCACCTATCATGGTAGAGGGCACCAGGTACTGTACGTGCCACCATGATATAAACACACCGTCAAGAAATGTTTGCTGGTCATTGGTCATTGATTTTTTTATGTTTGGTGAATCTTTCTAGGAATAGTTAGTAGGTAAATAAGATATATATGTACGAGTTTGCATATTTATGTAGTGTACGTCTTTGCCATTATCACGTACGGTACAGCGTGTGGACAAAACTCTACGTTGTATGTATGTATGTATGTATGTATGTATGTATGTATGTATGTATGTATGTATGTATGTATGTATGTATGTATGTATGTATGTATGTATGTATGTATGTATGTATGTATGTATGTATGTATGTATGTATGTAATAATAATAATAATAATAATAATTAACGGTTTATTGAAAAAGTTCTGCAGCCCGAAGGCTGAAAATATACATTGGACATAAATGACTTATTACATACATTGGTGGTTTAACAAAAGCCTTCATTAGAGAAAGGTGAAGGAACATACAGTGAACAAACAGATTAATGTAGGTGTTGAACAGCAAACACGTAGTGTAGTAACTCCCTCCCAGATGGTGTTAGGAGGGACCTCACGTGTGTAGTAGTTGAGGGGCCTCGTGGTGTAGTAATTCCCTCACAGATGGTGTAATTCCCTCACCGATGGTGAGGGGCCTCACGTGGTGTAGTAATTCCCTCACAGATGGTGTTATGAGGGGCCTCACGTGGTGTAGTAATTCACCTCACAGATGGTGTTATGAGGGGCCTCACGTGGTGTAGTAATTCCCTCACAGATGGTATTATGAGGGGCCTCACGTGGTGTAGTAATTCCCTCAAAGATGGTGTTATGAGGGGCCTCACGTGGTGTAGTAGTTCCCTCACAGACGGTGTTCTATGAGTGAGGTGTGGTCCCAGGCCTTCCTATCGTAGACGGATTAACACTTCGCTGGTTGTAGGGTCGGGCCGTTATCACTGGGTACCTGGGACCTCACTGTGTGAAGGTCAACTTGGGTACCACTGTTACTGTTGAGTTGTTCTCACCGACTTAAGCACTGTTCACCACTGTTCACCTCTGTTTAACACTGGTTCCATTCCTTTCCTAAATGAAATAGTAACTTCTGGCGTGAACTTGTTGATATTCCGGTGGGGAGGAGGGTTCAGGGGAGGGAGTTGGTATGGGCCAACTTAACAGTTGACCTGGCTGCTCCGAGAGGAGCGCCAGGTACGTCTTGACCCTTCGGTGGTCAAGGATGTATGTATGTATGTATGTATGTATGTATGTATGTATGTATGTATGAATGTATGTATGTATGTATGTATGTATGTATGTATGTATGTATGTATGTATGTATGTATGTATGTATGTATGTATGTAAGGTAGGTTATGTTTGTTGACCGTTGATAGGCTGTTGTAGGTACATTAAGGGCAGGTTTTGTGGATCCATTACAACGTTGTTCTCAGCTTGTGAGCCTAGTAAATGTTGTTCGCTAGATTGATCGTGGCTGTGGTGGCCTGGCGTTGGTTGCGGTAATGGGTGTGTGTAGACTGACAGGTCGCGTGAGTGGCAGGCAGCTCCGGCAGCTAGCGGTCAACACCCTCTAATCTAAAGTAGGCTCGTTCCAGTTTCATTATAATCCACAAAGAAAGATGACATTTCTAAGTATTCTAATATAAGGATATTTTTACATTGACCCCCCAAAATATGTAGAAAAGTCCTTATCTTTAATATGAGACGACAAAGGATAATTCTAATGTTTACAGCCGAATAAGTTTAATGGTTACAGAAACACACATAATAAAGATGAAGCCTGTCTTTAGTCCTGGGAGGTTTTGTGGTAAGGCAGTAATCATGATAAAAGTTGGTATTTCTTAAAAGAAGGTCGTGTGTGGCTCTGTGTTGACTAACCTTGTTTAACTCCGTGGTTACTGATCAGGTATGGCTCTGTGTTGACCTTGTATAGCTCTGTGTTGACCTTGGGTGGCTCTTGTGTTAACCTTGTGTGGCTCTGTATTGACCTTGTGTGGCTCTGTGTTGACCTGGTGTGGCTCTGTGTTAACTGACCTTGCATGGCTTGTATTGACCTTGTGTGGCTCTGTGTGGACCTTGTGTGGCTCTGTGTGGACCTTGTGTGGCTCAGTGTTGACCTTGTGTGGCTCTGTGTTGAGTTTGTGTGGCTCTGTGTTAACCTTGCGAGGCTCTGTGTTGATCTTGTGTGGCTCAGTGCTGACCTTGTGTGGCTCTGTGTGGACCTTGTGTGGCTCTGTGTGGATCTTGTGTGGCTCGTGCTGACCTTGTGTGGCTCTGTGTGGTGTGTATTGACCTTGTGTGGCTCTGTGTTGACTTTGTGTGGCTCTGTGTTAAATGGCATGGCGTGCATTGACCTTGTGTGGCTCAGTGTTGACCTTGTGTAGCTCTGTGTTGACCTTGTGTGGCTCTGTATTGACCTTGTGTGGCTCTGTGTTGACTTTGTGTGGCTCTGTGTTAAATGGCATGGCGTGCATTGACCTTGTGTGGCTCTGTGTCGACCTTGTGTGGCTCTGTGTGGATCTTGTGTGGCTCAGTGCTGACCTTGTGTGGCTCTGTGTGGACCTTGTGTGGCTCTGTATTGACCTTGTGTGGCTCAGTGTTGACCTTGTGTGGCTCTGTGTGGACCTTGTGTGGCTCTGTGTTGACTTTGTGTGGCTCTGTGTTGACCTTGTGTGGCTCTGTGTTGACTTTGTGTAGCTCTGTGTTGACCTTGTGTGGCTCTGTATTGACCTTGTGTGGCTCAGTGTTGACCTTGTGTGGCTCTGTGTGGACTTGTGTGGCTCTGTGTGGACCTTGTGTGGCTCTGTGTTGACTTTGTGTGCTCTGTGTTGACCTTGTGTGGCTCTGTATTGACCTTGTGTGGCTCAGTGTTGACCTTGTGTGGCTCTGTGTGGACCTTGTGTGGCTCTGTGTGGACCTTGTGTGGCTCTGTGTTGACTTTGTGTAGCTCTGTGTTGACCTTGTGTGGCTCTGTATTGACCTTGTGTGGCTCTGTGTTGACTTTGTGTGGCTCTGTGTTAAATGGCATGGCGTGCATTGACCTTGTGTGGCTCTGTGTGGACCTTGTGTGGCTCTGTGTGGATCTTGTGTGGCTCAGTGCTGACCTTGTGTGGCTCTGTGTGGACCTTGTGTGGCTCTGTATTGACCTTGTGTGGCTCAGTGTTGACCTTGTGTGGCTCTGTGTGGACCTTGTGTGGCTCTGTATTGACCTTGTGTGGCTCTGTGTTGACTTTGTGTGGCTCTGTGTTGACTTTGTGTGGCTCTGTGTTAAATGGCATGGCGTGCATTGACCTTGTGTGGCTCAGTGTTGACCTTGTGTGGCTCTGCGTTAACCTCGTGTGACTCTGTGTTAACCTTGTGTGGCTCTGTGTTAACCTTGTGTGGCTCTGTGTTAACCTCGTGTGACTCTGTGTTAACCTTGTGTAGCTCTGTGTGGACCTTGTGTCTGTGTTGACTTTGTGGCTCTGTGTTAAATGGCATGGCGTGCATTGACCTTGTGTAGCTCTGTGTTAATCTTGTGTGACTCTGTGTTAACCTCGTGTGACTCTGTGTTAACCTTGTGTGGCTCTGTGTTAACCTTGTGTCTGTGTTAACCTTGTGTGGCTCTGTGTTAACCTCGTGTGACTCTGTGTTAACCTCGTGTGACTCTGTGTTAACCTTGTGTAGCTCTGTGTTGACCTTGTGTGGCTCTGTGTTAACCTTGTGTGACTCTGTGTTAACCTTGTGTGGCTCAGTGTTGACCTTGTGTGGCTCTGAGTTGACCTTGTGTGGCTGTTGTGTTAACCTTGTGTGGCTCTGTTGACCTTGTGTGGCTCTGTGTAGAACTTGCGTGGCTCTTTGTTAACCTTTTTGGGGCTCTGTTTTAACCTTGTGTGGCTCTGTGTTAACTGACCTTGCATGGAATGCATTGGCCTTGTGTGGCTCAGTGTTGACCTTGTGTGGCTCTGAGTTGACCTTGTGTGGCTCTGTGTGGTACTTGTGTGGCTCTGTGTTGATGTTGCTTGGCTGTGTGTTGACCTTGTGTGGCTCAGTGCTAACCTTGTGTGGCACCTGTGTTGACCTTGTGTGGCTCTGTTGACCATGTCTGGCTCTGTGTTGACCTTGTTGTGGCTCAGTGTTGACCTTGTGTAGCTCTGTGTGGACCTTGTGTGGCTCTGTGTTGACGTTGTTTGACTCTGTGTTGACCATGTCTGGCTCTGTGTTGACGTTGTGTGGCTCTGTGTTAACCTTGTGTGCCTCTGTAGACCTTGCGTGGCTCTGTATTGACTTTGTGTGGTTCAGTGTTGACCTTATGTGGCTCTGTGTTGACCTTGTGTGACTGTGTTGACCTTGTGTAGCTCTGTATTGACCTTGTGTGGCTCTGTGTTAACTTTGTGTGGCTCTGTGTGGACCTTGTGTGGTTCAGTGTTGACCATGTCTGACTCTGAGTTAACATTGTGTGACTCTGTGTTGACCTTGTGTGGGTCTGTTGACCTTTGTGTGGCTGTGTGTTAACCTCGTGTGACTCTGTGTTAACCTTGTGTGGCTCTGTGTTAACCTTGTGTGGCTCTGTGTTGACCTTGAGTGGGTCTGTTGACCTTTGTGTGGCTCTGTGTTAACCTCATGTGACTCTGTGTTGACCTTGTGTGGGTCTGTTGACCTTTGTGTGGCTCTGTGTTAACCTCGTGTGACTCTGTGTTGACCTTGTGTGGGTCTGTTGACCTTGTGTTGCTTTGTATTAACCTTGAGTGGCTCTGTTGATCTTGTGTGGCTCTGTTGATCTTGTGTGGTTCTGTGTTGACCTTATGTAATTCTGTTGACGTTGTGTGGCTCTGTATTAACCTTGTGTGGCTCTGTTGATCTTGTGTGACTCTGTTGATCTTGTGTGGCTCTGTTGATCTTGTGTGGCTTTGTTGACCATGTGTGGCTCTGTGTTGACCTTATGGAAGTCTGTTGACCCCGTGTGTCTCTGTGTTGACCTTGTTTGGTTCTGGTGACGTATGCCTCCGATATATTATTCATAAATGTATCAAGTATCATCCTATGAGGTCAAAGGGTGGTAGCTGTCAACGTACAGTATGTGTTAGTGATAATATATATATAATATGCTAGAGACAACGGGTTTAATAGGCTATTTATGTATGTGGATGAACCTAACTCGTGTAGGTCGTGGAAAGTTAAAATATTTTCTGTCGTCTTTTTTGTCGCAGTTTGTGTTCAATCATTAGGCTTTTTAGTGTTTTATTTTTGTAAAGTGTATAAGATGTAAGCAGCAGTATCCGGTTGAGCTAAGATGGGCAGTACACCTCTAGACTGGCAGTACACCTACTGTACGACGAGGTGGGTTTATCAGAAGGTTTATCTCTGACAACCTACATATCTAGTGACAGGTGGCGGGGGCTGACTGAAACAGTGTACGGGAAAATTTGTTTGGTAATTGATTGTTTAAGCATTTAGTTATATCATTAATCCTAGACGATCCAACTTTAATATTGTTTGTGCTGATAATTTTCTCCCCGGGGTCTTATTGCAAGCTATTTGTCGTCTGCTGTGTCTGAACTAATCAGTCAATCTGCTTCTTTTGATAGATAAATTTGTGTTGACCTTCCTAACATGACCTACCATCTTCTTTCACTTAAGTTTAGACCTGCCCCTGGGTATTATAATCATTATTCCTCAGTACCCTTGAAATACAAGCTGAATTGTCGTATTCTGTAGCACTGATAAGAAAACTTCCGTCTAAAATTCAACGTGGTTATCACAGCATGGTATCTAAATCCTACAGGTAAACAAAACACCTACTGTAGCACCGCCCCTTTAAAATCACTGTCTCAGGTGCTATTCTAACTAGATTCGTGTGAGGAATTGCGTTAATGACAGTAAGGAGCCCGCCATGGTAGCGAAAACCTTTCTATAGTCCCAGAATCCCTTGGTCTTGCTCTAGACTCTACTCTGGTGTGGTCGAGAAACCCGCTGCTCGTCATTATTCTACTGAAATTTTCATTTGTCGAAGGGGTAGGAATCCTCCAATATTGAGTATACGACAGTGAGAAGTGTTTCTCATATCAGCGACCAATCAGCGTAGCCTAGAAATACCGCCAGCCAATGCGCGTCCAGTGTAGGCCTCTGACATGTGGTTTAATGTTTACATCTCGCGTGTTAGTTATTTTGTGTTAATGTTGATGCTTCTTGGCCACCAGCTGTGTGATATATTGTTGTTTGCCTGTAATAGTTCCTGTAAAATAGAGTCTTGTGTTCAGTGTAGTTTGTCCCATACCGCTTTTGCTTGTTTGTGTGTTCTTATGTTAATTGTGTCTATGTTATGTTCGATGTGTATGTCTCGTATTTTTTGACTGTATGGCGGCCTATGTTTTGCTGCTCTTCTTAGTGCTGTATTTTGGACTGCTTGCAGCTTGAGTTTCTTTATTTTAGTTATTGTGTGAAGTGGAATTGGTGGGTATTCAAGGTGTGGTCTTACGAGTGATTCGTATAAATGTAGCTGTGTTTTGGTGTTCAGTTTTCTAAAGCGACGGAGTTTGGTTAGTTGTAATTTGGCTTTCGTCAATCTTTCTCTAATGTGTTGGTGTACCCTTTTCTGGTGAGTTTGAGTCCCAGTGTTTTTCCACTTTCTTCATATGGTAACTGTTGATTGTTGATTATGATTGGGTATGGATTTATTTTTGCAATGTATATGATCTTTAGTTTTTGGATGTTGGTTTGGATTTTCCATTTTCTCTCATAGTTGTTAATGGCTTCAATTTCTCTTCCTGTTCTTATGGCCATCATTTGTTTAGATCTCCCTGGATATTGTATTATTTGCGTGATATCGTCAGCGTATGCTATGTAGTCCGACTGTCTTGGGTCTGGTATGTCTGCTGTGTATATTGTGTACAGTGTGGGTGAAATGTTGCTGCCCTGTGGGACTCCACTGTGTATGTTGAAGGTTTGTCCGCTGTAGTTGTGTATAATGAACCTGGCTTGTCTGTTGTCTAAGAAGTTACAGAGAAGGGTTGTCATGTTTTTTGGCATGTCAAGTTGAATTATTTTATATTTGAGGCCTTCGTGCCACATTTTATCGAAAGCTTTTGATACATCTCTGAGAACGACATTGCACTGGTTTTTATTGCTGAGGTCGTTAGCTATTGTTTCGTAAATTAGCGTAATAGCCGTGTTTGTATCTCGGTTCTTCCGGAATCCATGTTGTCTGGGGTTATATTTGTTTTCCTGTTCTAGATAGTTTCTGAGTCTACTGTTGACTATTTTTTCTAATATTTTGCCTGTTACTAATAAGGATATTGATCTGTAATTTTCCGGTCCTGTTGGGTTTTTTCCGAGTATGAGTATGAATCTGATTTTGGCTGTTTTGAATCTCGTGGGGAAGTGTCCTGTTGCTAGTGAGGAGTTAAAGATCTGTGTAAGTTGTTTTATCAGTGTTGTGGGTATGTTTTGAAGGACGGTTTTGTTATCTGACTTAGTCCAGGTGTTTTATCTTTAAAACTCGTTATAATGTTTGTTGCGTCTTTTGTGGTGATTGGCGTGGTTAATGTGTCTGCACTGTTTAGTGTGTTGAGGTCTATTGTTCTTGGTGGTTGCCATTCTCTGTGTTTAGTGTAAGGTGTGTTGTTACCATCTGTTCTGTTACTCTACAGTAGTTTCTGTTTTCTTCCGTGATTTTATATACCTGTATGTTATTCCAGAAATTTCTGAAAATCAATTCTTTGTCTACAGATTCTGTAGCATTTACCTCGGTGTCATCTGTAAGATGGCTGTTATCTATGGAGTTAGTGCCCATTAGGATTTTTATTTTACTCCAGAAGAGTTTGGAATTGTGATAGCCGGCCTCTGTGTTTGTGATTAGCTGGTTCCATTTGTCGTTAACTGCCCCTAGACAGCCCGCCCCCCCCAGCCTATATACGGTTCGCCAGACGCCTCGAACATTCTAGCGATGTCCAGAAGCGGGAGGTCGGCTCGAGACCCGCCTGAAGAATACTAGAATGATCTAGGCTTATAATAAGAGGTAAATCAGAACAAAAATGATGCAATACATTCGAGAATATTCTTACATAATTAATAAATCAATATCATCAATATTCACTAAATTTTCATTAAATTTACCCACAATAACTGCTGAATGGGACAGAAAACAATCAAAACACCTAGTTTACAAGAGTATAACACAAAATTATGCCTCGGCATAACAGAAGTCATTATAGCGTACAATCAACACCAGCCAGTGGGCCAAGGATGCGTCACCGTCAAAGCTAAGAAAACACATATCTTCTCATATTATACAATATTTGGAAGTTTCTGTCTGTCTGTGTGAGTTTGTCCGTACATCACCCCCCACCTCCCCATACTTGGTATCGTTGGAATCGTCTTGACCCACAGATGGCCCTTAACTGGGTTTCATTTCAAAACTTTGTGTTTTGGGATCTTGGGGCCTTTTCTTCCATCTCCAAGAATCTGCAGTTAATGGTATCTCCTAGAACGTCAGGGACGGTTAATAGTGTATCCTAGAACATTATGAATGGCGGTTAATGGTGTCTACTAAAATATCCTTTCATGTATCAAATCTACTGCATAATTTTTTCCATTTTTGTTAATGATATTTCAGAATACAACAAAGAAAATTAAAGCATGTTTGTATTATTTCTCAGCCTTATACTGTATTTAATCTAGAGGTTTCATTCAATGTGCTAAAAAAAGTACTACTGGAAAATTCGTTTTTTTTCTTTGACATCTCCAATGATGAATTTCCTTTCCGGGCAACGCCGGGTAATTCTTCTTATTGTTAAATATCAGATTAGGGTTTTAGACTATCTAAACCTGAGTGTCTTGTCACTGATGCTAATATACAGGTACACTACAATTCAGTTGGAGCAATGTCTTGACCATATCATCTCATGGTGGTGTAAAGAACACTCGAGTTATAACATGTATTAATGAGACGGCCTATGACATCACCAGTCGTCCATAACGGCTAGTAACAGGGTTTACTGGAAATCATAATATAATCCTTTTGTTATCTGTTATACCATTATATGCCGTTTAATTAGTGCATAGATTACGCCCTTTAAAACTATAAGATAACAATCATAAGTAATTCTCCAGAGCTTTAATAAGGTACTGTAGTGGTAAAATTTACATCTGTGATGGAGTGGAGTCTCGTATATTTTACCTCGCGTTTTACCACGGGGTCTGCAGTTCTA